AGGGCTGGGAAGGGCAGGGAAGGAGCTGCACTGGCCCACGGAGTGACCGTCTACATTCCACGGGAGGCCTGGAACACCTGGAGGAGCCAGAGAGCTGCCAGGCCCAGAACCAAACATTCCCCACCTTCTGGGTGGTGTCAGCACCGTGGAGGTGTCGGGGCTGCTCCAAAGGGATCCCCCACACGCTCCCTGATGGGCAAAAGGTGCCCAAGAGCAGCTGAAAGGGATCCACGGGGAGGGGCTGTGCTGGAAGGGGCTGGATCAGGCTGATTGCAGCCAGTTTGGGGCATGGGCATCTCCATGGCAACTGCCAGGGCTGTGGGATGTGGGGCCTCAGGGTGCCCAGGGGCCACTGGGACACTGAGGGGCCTCCTGGAACTGAGGGGACATTTTTATCAATGATCTGCACAAGGGGATCGGTGCAACCTCACTCATTTCACAGGTGACATCAAGCTGGGTGGGCTCTGCTCCTCCAGGCCTGCAGAGCTCCCTCTTTGCCTGCAAAAAAAGTCGTCTTGGGCATCCTTATTGGAGCAGTCTGGGGCTGCTGCTTCCTGGGATTTCGTCTCCACTGAAGAGAGTCCAGGAAAAGCCTGGGAAGAGTCTCAGTTAGATCCTGGAAAATGCAGGTTTCATGAAAAAACATTTTGGGCAGCTTCCCTGGATCAGTCTGGGACTGCATTTCAGTGCTGGGAGTCCATTTTTCCACCTGTAAATTGGTGCCACTGAGTTCCTGCTTCACCAGTTCCCCCCTGGGGACAAAGTCTTTGCTCTTTCCCTCCAAGGTGTCTCTCAGTGGGGCTTGCTGACATCCTCTGGAAGTTGGAGGTTCACTGATGAATTTTGCTTCTCTAAGAGGCTTGTTCAGCCTTCAGATCTTCAGTTCAGGAATTTGGTGCCAGAGGGCTCATTACATTCAAAACACACTGGTGAAACAAGCCTGTGGGATTAATTTACCTTTATGTCTTCAATTCTTTTGTGGTTAATTAGACAGATTGCAGAAGTGTATTCCAAGTGAATGTATTTTATTAAAAAAACAATAAGAGGATATTTTTTATCCTGTTTTCTTTTTTACTGTTTATACATTGATATCAGCAATCTCTAATTTATTTTGATCCTGTGCAACTCATAATGCAGTTTGAATTGATATGAAAATCAAGACCCTTTCTGTCTGACTATCAATCAGACTTTGTCCATATCCCCATCCCAACATTTCCCTCATCAGACCCCTGGGACTTAAAGCAGCCTCCTGCAAATCTGAGCTTCCACACTAAAGGTTGTACTTGCAGGTTTCAGCTGGTTGGCATCAAGTCCCACCTGCTTGGCTTGGAGAAAGAGCTGCAGGAGACACAGAGGGATGTTCATTTATTGCCAGCAAACAAAACCAGAGGAAGGCACAGCTCAGTAAAAATCAAAACTCCTTCCTCTGCTGTATATTAAGTCCAACACTGCCTCTGCTAAAATCCACTCTCTGCAGTCTTAGACCAATGGAAAATGCCTTCTGTGTCGGGCACATATTCCAAGGTCCCCCAAACACTCCCTGCCCCAGGTTCTGTCCGTATTTACCCTTTGCACACAGAGAGTCACACACTGAAGTCACAAGTTCCCTTGATCCATAAAGGGAGGAAAAGAGAGAGACTGAATGAAATACTCTATTTTGTAAAGTTAATTCTGCACTAATCCCAGTATTCTGGGGTTACAGGACCTTTATCAAACACATTCTGCAGCATCTGTTCACTGGGTAAACATCTGTGTTGCTGGGCAGGCCCAAGGAGTGGTGGGGAATGGAGTTCCATCCAGGGGTGTTCCCAGGGCTCAGCACTGGGCTCAGGGCAGTTCAATGTCTTTATCAATGATCTGCACAAGGGGATCAGGGCAGCCTCAGTCAGTTCACAGGGGACACCAAGCTGGGTGGGAGTGTTGATGTGCTGGAGGGCAGGAAGGC